TCGGGAGAGGCCAGGCTGAAAGCAAAGTGCACAACGGTACTCTGGACTGCAGTGAGTGAGAAAAAGCTGGAAAAACTAAAATCCCCGGTCCTGGCTGGAAACCACTTCTGGACTTTGTGCTCGAGGTGGGAAAAAGACAGCCGAAATTTTTGGGTTTTACCGATGAATAGGTTTGTTGTTATAGAAATGGCTACAAGGGGGGACAGGATAGCAGTCTTCCAATATCTCAGGGGGCTGCCCCAAAGAAGAGGGAGTCAAGCTATTCTCCAAAGCGCCTGAAGGCAGGACAAGAAGCAACGGATGGAAACCAATCAAGGAGAGAAGCAACCTGGAACTAAGGAGAAACTTCCTAACAGTTGGAACAATGAACCAGTGGAACAACCTGCCTCCAGAAGTGGTGAATGCTCCAACACTGGAAGTTTTTAAGAAGATACTGGACAGCCATTTGTCTGAAATGGTATAGGGATTCCTGCCTGAGCAGGGGGTTGGATTAGATGACTTCCAAGGTCCCTTCCAACTACTACTACTACTACTACTACTACTACTACTACTACTACTACTACTACTACTTCTTCTTCTTCTTCTTCTTCTTCTTCTTCTTATTATTATTATTATTATTATTATTATTATTACTACTACTACTACTACTAGTAGTAGTAGTAGTAGTAGTAGTAAAAGCTGAGGTTTATTATCTTATTCTACTGCACCAAAGGGAATCTTTCTTTTTTTCCCGTTGCCCCACACTTTTCCCTTCCCTTTTTCCTCCCCTATTTTCTTCCTATTTTCTTTTAGAATAGAACAGAATAACACAGCCAGAAGGGACCTTGTAGGTCATCTAGTCCAACCCCCCCCGCCCAAGCAGGAGACCCTACCTCATTTCTGACAGATGGCAGTCCAATCTCTTCTTGTATTTTTGTATTATATATTATAAACTAATAAACAAAGAAACAAATAAAAATCCCCTGTCCAGGCTTATTGGCTACTACAAAGTTACTACAGTTTTACTCTGAGGTTACTACAGTTACTAGGAGTAGTAGCGGCGCTGTACACCCAGACTCTACTCCATGTTATGATTAAAAGAAGGGTTAGGGTCATGTCTTGGTAGTGCTTACCGGCAACACAAAAAGTTAACACTGAGCATAAAATGCAACAAAATAAAAATGAAAGCACTGTTAAGTGAGTCACTTGGTCGCTAAGCGAGTCCGCCTTCCCTCACTGACTTGGCTTTGTTGGAAGCCAGCTGGGAAAGTCGCAAATGGCGATCATAGGATGAATCTGGGATGCTGCAACTGTCACAAATACGTACCAGTTGCCAAGCACCCGGGGTTTGATCACGTGACCACTACCAATGGTTGCAAGTACGAGGACGTAAATCATAAGTCACTTTTTTCCAAAGCCGCTGTACGATCATTCGGTTACTAAATGAATGCTTGCAAGTTGACGAATACCTGCATTCTTATATATGTATCTTTGAGGGATCCTTGATGCTCTCTGAATTTCTTGGTTTTCTGGCAGACGTTTCATTACCCAAACTAGGTGACATCATCACCCTACAGTCTTCCTCTTCCTCCTCCTCCTCCCCCCACTCCTTAACTGATGATGTCACCTAGTTGGGTAATGAAACGTCTGAAAGAAAACAACCAGGCTCAGAAAGCACCAAGGACCCCCACAGTCCTCCTCCTCCTCTCTGCAAGCCCCTCCTTTCTAGCACTGATGATGTCACCTAGTTGGGTAATGAAATGTCTGCAAGAAAATAGCCAACCTCAGAGAGCATCACAGACCACCACCACCTCCTCCTCCTTCATTCTTCTCCTCCTTCTCTTCTTCTCTCCCTCCCCCTCCTCCTCCTTCATTCTTCTCCTCCTTCTCTTCTTCTCTCCCTCCCCCTCCCTTCTTCTTCTTCTCCTCCTTCATTCTTCTCCTCCTCCACTTCTTCTCTCCCTCCCCCTCCCCTCCT